CGCATGCAGAAGGAGGCCAATTGATGTTCTCTCTCATCGATGTTTCTATCTCTCTCTCCCTCTCCCTTTCTCTCTCTCTAAAAATCAATAAAGAAAAATTTTTTTAAATAAACAAAAAAAACCAGAATCACAGACTTATCTTTTAATACCACCATGTTGCTAGTTCCTCATTTTTCTTCTGGTATTTAAAATACAATTACCTTTTCTGCTAAAGTAAATTCAAATAATGCAGAAACTTTTCTTTATAAGAAACATAATTATTTAAACAAACCAATAAGATTAGTTACTTTCTTTTGTCTAGCACTGTCCATCTTAAGATAAGATTTGCTTCTGCTTAATACATTATTATTTTCATGAACAGTAGTAAAAACAGCTAGCAAGCAATGAAACAGAAGTCAACAAATGACTTAAATTTATTTAAAAGTATTTTTTTTTAATCCTCACTCGAGAACATTTTTCCATTTTTTGTTCAGATAGAGTGGGAGGGAAAGAGAGGTAGAGAGAGAAAGAGAGAGAGAGAGAAGAAACATCGACGTGAAAGGGACACATCGAGTGGCTGCCACCCGCATGACCAACCAGGGCCGGGGACAAACTGCAACCGAGGTACATGCCCTTAGCGGGAAACAAATCCGGGTCTCTCTGGACCGCAGGCCGACGCTCCAACTGCTGAGCCAAACCAGCCAGGGCTAAAAGTATTTTTTGTAAGCCTTAAAAGCATTTTCACATTACAACACTAAAGATAACAAAGATTATATAGAAGAAATGGGGGGAAAATCCACATAGGCACTGAAATAATAATAATACTTCTTATTTACAAGTAACATATTTCTAATACTTATGTTATTTTCCTCAAAAATAATAACAAACTGTTTTGGTAGCTTTAAAAAATAAACATGTAAAAATATTCCTTGTAGTCTACCTAGCTCTCTTTCATACAACCTCACTCACTTCTTGAGGGAACTGCTTTATCCCTCCAACATTTCTATGGTTCTGATAGGGCTGCCAATGTTAGTAGCCTTATTTCCCCTAACATGAGTGGACTTTGTCATCAGACAGACAAAAATTTTACCATATTCTCTTCAACACAGTAATTAGTCCAAGCAGTGGGCACATACAACCTTGGCTGGGCCTGAGTCCTCCAAATATTTTGGGAATAAGAGAGATGGGAGGAAGGGGTTTCTTTCTCATGGTTAATAAACTGAGGTTGATCCCGGAATTATCAGCAGCCTTGAGAGAATGAAGCCCAAAGGAAAAGATGGAAAGGGAGAGAACAGTTCTAAATGATATTTTATTCTCTGGATTCAGAAAATCCCAAAACTAGTTCTTGTCCTCACTTTTCTATGCTTTAGGTTTAGTCATTTAATAAATCCCTCACCACCCCCTACCCCCTGCCTTTTTTCCCCCCCCTTAAACTAGCTTGAATAAGATTTGTCAATTGCAACCCAACAGTCCCAATACATTTCCTATATTCATTTAGGCTTGATAAACTAAATATAAAAATCATATAGTTTTTTTAACAGCCCTGTTATTATAAATCTAAGTAATGATATATACTAAATGCTCCTTCTCTCCTACAATTTTTTTCAGCTTTATTAGGGTATCTTTGACCAACAGAAATTGTATATACATAAGGTGCACAACTAGATTTTTTTAAAAATTTTTTTTCCCCTTTATTTATTTGAGAGAGAGAGGAAGTGAGTGGGAAACAGAGATAGAAACATCAATGAAAGAGAACATCAATTGGCTGCCTCCTGCATGCCCCTCACTGGGGATTGGGCCCAAATCTGGACATGTGTCCAGGAATCAAACCAGCGACCTCTTAGTGCATGGGTCGATGCTCAACCACTGAACCACACCGGCCAGACACAACTAGATTTTTTATATACATAAGATGGTGAAATAATCACCACAATCAAGCTGGTTAACATATCAATCACTTCATATAGTTCCCCCGTACAATTTTAAATATATACAAATAAACATTTAAAGAAGCATAAAGTACATACAGTATTTTAAATTATCATACATAATAAAACAAAATATATTTTATGTAAATATGAAATTCACATATGTGCAAAATTTTAAAATGCTATGTATATAGAAAGGTTTCAACACCCTCTCTCTCTAGTCCAATACCCCAGAATCAACAACTTTCAATATATATATATTTTTTTTAATCCTCATCCGAGGACATTTTTCCATTTTTTCTACAGACAGAGTGGGAGGGAGAGAGAGGAAGAGAGAGAGAGAGGGAAACATCGATGTGAAAGGGACACATCGAGTGGCTGCCACCCGCACGACCAACCAGGGCCGGGGACAAACTGCAACCGAGGTACATGCCTTTAGCGGGAACCGAACCCGGGTCTCTCTGGACCGCAGGTGGACGCTCTAACCGCTGAGCCAAACCGGCCAGGGCAACAACTTTCAATATTTTTAATAGCTGTTAATAAGCTTTATTAGTACTTCTTGATTTACCAATTTTAAATATTATCTCTTGACTTCCTGCTCTGGGAGAAGAGAATTTAACTCCTCACACAACCAATTCCACCCTCTCAATAGTTATTATTATTATTATTTCCTCTATTATTTATCTTTATAATTTTACTTACACCTTTATTTATGGCTTCATGTACTAATGATACTCCATTTTGTAAAATAAGAATTACAGGAAGACATCTAGTCCCCTTACTTTCAATTTACAACTTCCATTAAATATTCTTATATTGAAAGGTTAACAGTTTCCGTCTGTTCTATAAAGGTTTAAGTCAATAAATATCACTTACATTAAGAAAACTATATAAATGACATTTAGTACACATCTAAGTAGTTTTCTATGACTCTGTATCCTTCCTATTCAGATTATCCTTAATTTTCCTGGAGTGTCTAATTCCCATTTCCTTTCCCTTGTCTGCTTTGATCACTACCTTAAATACTTCCAAATTCTCAAAGTTAGTTTCAAATCTCAATTTTTACTGGATATTCCCTCTTAGAGGTGACATATCTGTAAGATCTTTACTCAGCAGCAATGGGTCTTCTTTTCCCACTACCTAAAGTAAAAGCTACTATTTTCTAGATTCACTGTCATCTGCTCTTTTCATGACACCCTCATCTAGGGTACATTCTCTAAGAATTTTCCAAGAAAAAGTATGTGGACAAGTCAATCTTCTAGCCTTACATGCCTAGAAATGTTCTTTCTACTCTCACACTTCACTGAGAGTTTGAGTATAAAATTCTACATTGAAAATAATTTCCAAGTAATTAGAAATAGTGATTAATTATATTCTACCATCCGCTTTTGGCTGTATGAAGATTGATATCAATCTGATGACCTAATTTCTCCTCTCTAGAAAGTGTTCAGATAAATTGCAAGATGATGTATTTATCTGAATATCTTTCATATTCATTGTGCTGAGCACCTGTTGGTTTCTTTCAGCCAAAAGTTTATGACTTTCAGTTCCTCGGGAGGGGGGTTGTCTTTTTTTTTTTTATGTCTTTGAAAATTTCCTCCAATGGCCAGCAGATGTGGGTCAGTGGTTGAGCGTCGACCCATGCACCAAGAGGTCGCCGGTTCAATTCCCGGTCAGGACACATGTCCAGGTTGTGGACCAAATCCCCAGTGGGGAGCATGCAGAAGGTGGTCAATTGATGTTCTCTCTCATCGATGTTTCCATCTCTCTCACGCTCTCCCTTTCTCTCTCTAAAATCAATAAAGAAAAAAAGTTTTTTTAAAACGATACCTTCTAAAGACATGGCATAATATTGAATACTTAAAAAAGAAAAAAAAAAAAAAAAAAGGGAGGGAGAGAGGAAGGAAGGAAGAAAATTTCCTCCAATGTGTTTTCCCTAAGTTCTTTTCTGGAACTCTTTGGAACTCCAACTAGTTAAAAAACAAAACTCCTACAGTGAGCCACCACATTTTTTTTGGACACATTCCTTCTCTTTAGTTTTTATTTACATTCTGAATTGTTTCGTCAATTTTATCTTCCAACCTTCCTGCAGAACTTTAAATTTTAACCATCATATTTTCTTAATTTCCACAAACTCTGGAATCTCATTATTCCTTTCACATAGCATACTATGTAGATGTTTTAACATTATACATATCTTCTCAACTCTCTATGAAAATACTAATTATAGATTTTATATTTCTCTTTTAATTTTTTTGTTTTCAATACTACATTATTTATTCCAGAATTTTTGTTTGCTTGTTGTCATTATATTTTTTTCATGATGAAAGCACTCCTCATGTGTCTGATGATTCCTGAATACCCATTAATGTTTAAGAATAAGGCCCGAAGCAAATTAATTGGGAGTCCTCTAAGCATGTCTAGAGTTTCGTGACTGGTGAAAGTTGTTTTTAGGATAATTAAGTGACTAACTGTTTCAAAGAGACAGAACTGACAGAATGTAAAAAGAAAAAAAAAGTAGCAATACCATATTCCCACCCCACCCTTGGCCCTAAAGCTGATGACTGGCCTGGTGATGGAAAAACTGCAATTACCACCTTTATCTGCATCGTCCCAAAGTATCTCATTCCCTACTCTCTTTTTCATACCTTGCATACTCAAATTCTACACCTCTCTAGGATTCTGGGGCTAGGGGGAAAGGACAGATGACTTCCTTCTATCTTATAAGGCAGAGGATAATTTGTTGTAATTACTACCCACAGATTTAAAAATGCTTTATAAATAAGTCATGAATTGCTTAACAACAGGAATATGTTCTGATAAATGCATCGGCAGGCGATTTTGACATTGTGTGAATTGAACATCACAGAGTGTACTTACACAAACTTAGGTGATACAGTGTACTGCACACCTCGGCTATAAGGTATAGCCTATTGCTCCTAGGCTACAAGCCTGTACATCAGCCTATACAGCTGAGTACCATAGTGAATACTACAGGCAACTGTAAATATTTTTGTATCTAAACATATCTAAAAACAGAAAAGGTACAGTGAAAAGGATAAAAAAAATGGAACTCCTGTATAGGGTACTTACTTTAAATGGAACTTGTAGGACTGGAAGTCGCTGTGAGTGAGTGAATGGTGACTGAATGTGAAAGCATAGGATATTAGTGTACATTATTGTAGATATAAACACTGTATACGTAGGCTATTCTATATTTATAAAATGTTTTTCTTTATTTTAATAATAAATTAACCTTAGTTTACTATAATATTTTTACTATATAAACTTTTTTTTATTTAATTTTTTTCTTTATTGATGTTAAGAGAGGAAGGGAAAGGGAGATAGAAACTTTGATGACAGAGAACATAAATTGGCCACCTCCTGCATGCCCCACACTGGGGATTGATCCCACAACCTGGGCATGTGCCCTGACTGGGAATCAAACCGGCGACCTCTCAGTCCATGGGTCAAAGCTCAATCACTGAGCCACACCAGCCAGGCTATATACTTTTTAATTTTAACTTTTTAACTCTTGTAATAACACTTTGCTTAAAACACAAACGTGTTGTAAAAAATATATTTTTGTTATATTCTTATTCTATGTTTTATTTTCTATTTTTACATTTCTAGTATTTATTCTTTTTTGTTAAAAATTAAGGCACAAACATACACCTTAGCTTAGGCCTATACAGAGTCAGATCAATACCACTGTCTTCTACCTCCACATCTTGTCCCCCTGGACGGTCTTCAGTGGTAGTAACAAGCATGGAGTTGTATTCTCCTGTGATAACTGCCTTTTTTTGGAAGGCCTCCTGAAGGACCTGCCCAAGTCTCTTCTTGAAGTCTCACTCTGTTCAGAAATATGTCCACGATGGTTTGTTTCTTTTTTTCTTTATATATTTGCTTGTAAGCAGATATATGCACCATGAACATCCCTTTCTATTATGAAAACCTTTTGGTGTTGGAATTCAGGTTTTCAAACTTTTTTTTTTATCCTCACCTGAGGACATTTTTCCATTTTTTGTTCAGATAGAGTGGGAGGGAGAGAGAGAGATAGAAACATCGACGTGAAAGGGACACATCGAGTGGCTGCCACCCGCACGACCAACCGGGGACAAACTGCAACCGAGGTACATGCCCTTAGTGGGAACTGAACCCGAGTCTCTCTGGACTGCAGGCTGACACTCTAACCGCTGAGCCAAACCAGCCAGGGCCAGGTTTTCAAACTTTTTAAGAGGCCTGATGAGGTCTTCAAAAGTTTCTGCTAAATTCTGCACTGCGAATTTTCTTCTTGTTCTGCAATTTCTTTTTCTCTTTCCCCTTCTCCAGACACACATTCCTTTTCTAGTTCCAACTACTCCTTATTAGTCAATTCTTCAGGAACCACCTCTAGGAGTTCCTCATTCTCATCCACATCCTGGTTAAAGCTGCTTGCTATCTCAACTACAGCCTTGGCGATTTTTGCAACCTTTGGGCTAAGACACTAGGCAACAGAAAATTTTCAACTCCATTATAATCTTATTGCATGACCATCATACATGCAAGTCTATCACTGAACAAAACATCATTAGGTGGCACATGACTATACATAAAAATAAATGTATAAAACAGTACATTTCACAAAATAATACTTATTCTATGAGACATAGGATAAGTATTTTCATATTTTCCATTGTTTTGTAATGTTGATAAATGACTTTCTCTGCCATATTTCAATGACCACTCATCTATCTATTTTCTGTCCCTCTGAAAATTGTTGAAATCTTTCATTCACTCATGGCTCTTCTCTTTTTTTATTTCACTGTATTTCTCTCTTTTACTTCACTATAATTTTAGTAGGATCTAGGAGTGTAAAAAGGATAAACAAAAGTCCTCAATCTGTGATCTTTAACTCAAAGGCCTCTCTACTAGTATTTTTAAAAATCAGGAGTTTCCTGACCTGCCGGTGTGGCTCAGTGGATTGAGCATCATCCAATGGACAGAAAGGTTCTGGTTCGATTCCCAATCAGGGCACATGCTCAGGTTGTAGGCTCGATCCCCAGTAGGAAGCATGCAGGAGGCAGCTGATCAATGTATCTCTCTCACATCACTGTTTCTATCTTTCTCTCCCTTCCTCTCTCTCTGAAAAATCAATAAAAACATATTTTTTAATAATTTTTTTTCTTTATTGATATGAGAGAGAGAGAGGAAGGGAGAGGGAGAGAGAGAGAGAAATATCGAAGAAAGAGAACATCGACTGGCTGCCTCCTGCATGCCCCCCACTGGGGATCGGGCCCACAACCTGGGCATGTGCCCTGACCGGGAATCAAACTGGCAACCTCTTGGTGCATGGGTCGATGCTGAACCACTGAGCCACACTGGCCGGGCAATAAAAACATATTTTAAAAAATTAAAGCCAGGAGTTTCTTAACCTCTTTCTGGCTGATTTAAGGTCCCTATTCTAATTATGATGGCCTTAATTGCTGTATTCTGGGAGTTACCACTACAGCTTGCCAAGGCAATTTGGGGAATTAAAAAGGAAAGGGGGAAAAAAAGGAAAGTGCTGGTAGTGACTAAGAATCTATATAACAATTCCACTTAACTCTGAAACTAAAGTAGAATTGTGGTTAAATGTTCAAAATTAAACATAAATACTTAAATGAAGAAATGGGAATTTCTTTTTGAGGGAAGACTTTAGGAAAGGTGGTTTCCATAAAGCAAATAATCAAAATCCAATTTTCAAGTATATCATGATAAATAATATTTTTATAAGTAGTAAAGAGTACTTACAAGGCAAGGCTACTCAAAACATATTGTACGTGCTCACATTCATCTGGGAATGATGCACTGGCTGATGTAAAACAGGAAAGTGCAGTCTGAAGAACTTGAAGCTGTGGCAAAGGGACCTGCCATCTTCCAGCATAATCTTCAACCACCTAGTAGGGAAATAATCCAAAAAGAACATTATTATAGAAAATGTTCTCAACATCTCCAGTTGAGAAGGACATAAGAGAGACACATCGAGTGGCTGCCATCCACACGACCCCAACCGGGGCCGGGGACAAACTGCAACTGAGGTACGTGCCCTTAGCAGGAACCGAACCCGGGACTCCCTGGACCATGAGACGACGCTCCAATTGTTGAGCAAAACTGGCCAGGGCAAAAACAATGTATTATATATTTTAAATGTATCATTTAAAACAGATTGGCAAACTATTGTCTGCAAGCCAAATTTGGCCTGCAACCTGTTTTTTGTACAACCCACAAGCTAAGAATGAATGTTCTATTTTTATTTTTAAAATAATTTTTCTTTATTAATTTTACAGAGAAAGGAAGGGAGAGGAAAAGAGAGAGAGAGATCAATGAGAGAACATCACCTGGCCGCTTCCTGCATGCCCCCCACAGGGGACCGGGCCCACAACCTGGGCATGTGCCCTGACCAGGTATTGAACTGGCAACCTCTTGGTGCATGGGCCAACGCTCAACCACTGAGCAACACTAGCCGGGTGGATTTTATATTTTTAATGGTTAAAAAAATACATTTTGTGATGTGTCAAAATCAAATGCAATTCAAATTTCAGTGTCCATAAAGTTTTACTGAAACACATTCAGGTTCATTCATTTATGTATTACCTATGGCTGCTTTCCTGATATAACAGCAAAGTTGAATAGTTGTGATAAAAATTATCTGGCTCACAAAGCCTAAAATATTTAATACCTTTACAGAAAGTTTTCCAACTCTGATTTAAAAGCTGGGAAAACTAGTGCAAAGTATAAAAGACAAGAACACTCAGAGCTCAAGGACTTTTCATACTAATTACTTCCTGTTGGGAGACATGACAATTTTCCATTGGTGTCTTATATTTCTATAGTTTTTCAAAAAGAGGGTCTGACAGCATTTGTCTTCAAATATATTTATAGGACACAACCTTGAAAAATAGAGATGATGTCTCCCTCCAGACCAGTGAGCCTGTTTACTGTCCAGTATAATCATGATGTCATCTCCCTCCAGAATAGTGGTTCTCAACTTGTGGGTCGCGACCCCTTTGGGAGTCGAACGACCCTTTCACAGGGGTCGCCTAAGACTATCGGAAAACACATATTTCCGATGGCAATTCATAACAGTAGCAAAATTACAGTTATGAAGTAACAACAAAAATATTTTTATGGTTGGGGGTCACCACAACATGAGGAACTGTATTAAAGGGTCACGGCATTAGGAAGGTTGAGAACCACTGCTCTAGAGCAAAGGTCAGGCAGATATGCTTTTAGACCACTATAAAAAAATAGGGGTTCTCTAAGCTTGGGGTTCCTTAGCTGTGATGAAAACCTACTTTGAGAGTAGGATCCACCTAAGCCACACACAAAACCCTTGTGAGACTGAAGGGCAAGGAGAACAATTGTAAACATGAAGCTCATACTGCTTACTATACCAAGAGGAATAAAGTCCTTTCTCTCTCATCCAGGAGTTTCATGTCTTCTGCCAGCATCCATGAAACTGTGGCAGGCTTAGATAAAGTCTCAGACCCTTCACAGTCCTTTGACAATTCTAAATTGTGATTCCAGGTAGCTAACATGTCTCCAATGTTTATAGGACAGTGCATGGATTTAAAAAAAAAAGGGGGGGGGGGCGGGGAAGAAACCTACAGGGTATTATCTCTGTGAACTTCTTTCTATTCCTTCCAGATCTTGTAGCCCTTACTAGCTGGAAAGAAAAAACTACTACTAACTATGATGACCTCAAGTAGGGCCGACTTTTCTAAACCACCATAGGCCAAAAAAGAATATTAGATAAACAGTGGTTCCCTGGCTTCAAATTTTTTCTTCATTAGAGAGTTTGACCAGCTTTACTACCTCTTTTTGGCCACCACAACACCATTTTTGTATCACATAAAATATAGGCATCTGACAGTCTCACATTTTTCCTATTTTCAGTCCCAAATAGTTTGCCCTAATCCATATCTACTTATAACCTTATTCACTTTCTATTTATGGGCTGGATTTATCTCCCTAGAAGAGAAGCTTTCTACTTTTTCAGTTTCTGTTCTCATTATAGTTTCCCTCATTCACCAACATTCAGCTACTAACACCCTGCCTGATCTAGCTAAGCCCAAATATAACACAATAAAAGGTCTTGTGGGCAACACCTCCAATATGTTTGCCACAATACCCTTGAAGAGACATAAACAAAATTGGCTGAAATGTACATATCTTCGTACACTGTTTAATGTCACACCAGATACTGCTATTAGCATAACACTATAACACCATTTTTCTTTTACATATTTTCCTTAAAATATGTAATCCTATATACATTACATTGCCATTTTACTTTGAATTTTTTTCTCCTGTGCTATAAGTGCTATCATAAGCACTCAGCTAATGAGAGCTGATATCACAACATCAAAATCTGAATGTGCTCTAGTTGAGCTGACCATAGCACAGCAAGCAACACATCTTCCATTTTTCTTTTGTATTCTAATAAGTAACAGTTTTAACGTAATGGTCAGAATAATGCTAAAGTTGCTACAAACAAAGAAATAGTATTTACCTGGACCTTTAAAATCATCTGCTACTACAGTTCTAAATTCTCCAAGAAAATAGTCTAAGAAACAAACGATCAAGATCAGCAGTCCATTAGGGATTAGTAGAAACTTTACTTTTTCATTTTGAAGGGCATAACAAACATTACTGCAATGCAATTTACTATAAATTACACGAACTATATGAAAACTGCTAAAAGAAGTTAAAGCCAAAGCCAAAGGTATGCCATGACATAAGGGGAGTTGAAGAGAAGAGCAGAGCTATTGCCAAAGAAAGATGCCGGAAGATTCCAATGATCCTACAGCACTTTCTCAGCACTCCCATTTACAGAAGCATGTATCCTGGTCTGTAAGGGACAATGGCATATACTATACACTGTCATATAATTTACCAAGGCAAATCATTGTGAGAACGAACACGAATTCATTCTCTGTCAAAAATATCAAGACACGGACATAATGTAAACCTATTAAGTTAAAATTACATTCATTATTAGAAACACTAAAATACATCATTCAAATTAGTATGGGCTGAAATGTGTCCCCCTATTTTGTGCTGAAGTCTTAACCCCTAATGTAACTACATTTGGAGACAGGGCTTTTAGGAGGTAATTAAGGTTAAATGATGTCACAAGGAAGGAGGGGTCCTAGTCAGATAGGACTGTGGGCCTTATAAGAAGAGGAAGAGGGATCTCTCACTGAGGAAAAGCCATGGCGAGGTCCACTAAGAAGGCGGCTGGCTATCTATAAACTAGGAAGAGAGTCTTCACTAGAATCCAACTGGCATCCTGATCTCAAACTTCCAGCCATCAGAACTGTGAGAAAATAAACTTATGTTATTCAAGTCACCAAATGTGTAATACTTTCTTATGGCAACTGGAGCTAATTAATATATAAATGTATAAAAATAATACAAATGTAGCAGTTTAAGAACCCCCTAAAATATCATAAAAATGATTAAAATATGGTTATCTGTTTCTTAACTGAGCTCTTCTTTTTTTCTAACATAATAAGATTACTAAACACAAAATCGTCACTGAGTAAACAATCCTCTTGATTTTTAAATCCAGCTAAAAATAGACTAGATCATTAACACAATTATCAAGCATGACTTTATTTCTATTAGTTGGCCATTCACAACCCTGTCATTTTCCTTCCTGAAGTCTTCCATTCTCATAAAGTTTTAATGTTTCAGACACCTCACAGTTCCCAAGTGTCAGTCAAGATGTTCACTGTTAATTTCATTGCTTGTTTATATAGTGAATCCATCTACTTTCTAAATCTGATTAACAAACCAGAAGACACATTACTATTACCTTCCATTATAAGAGATTCAAAAAATGGCTACTATACATGCCTGTATTAATCTACTAAATAAACATTAATGCAATCTATGCAGTGAGTAAATTTGCTAATTTCCTGAACACTTAAAATAAACACTGTAATAAACATTTAGTTTTTTCCCACCCATTTCTGTATGATTATGTTATTCATTTGTAATACAGCTACTATATATATAAATATTTGCTAGTTCTATCCACCTAAAGGACCCAGGAGCAATGATATGCCAGTAGTAATATGCACACTTAGGGCTCACATCTTGGTTCTGAACACTATTCTCAAAAAAAAAAAAAAAGAAAGAAGGAAACTTGGGCTACTCAAGTACAAGGAGCTTGGGTTCTCAAAGCCCTCCTCTAGCAGGGCTGGAGTAGGGAAAATACAAGATGAGACTAGAACATTTTATGGTGCCAGAAAGCAATGAAATGCTAACAAGAAAAAAAAAAAAAAGATGGGATATAAAAACACAGAAGCCAACCAGAAAGGTGTCCTAATGGCTAAAGCTAAAACAATTTGAGCAACAAAGTGATGATAATACTGGGCTTTAATCCATGGAACCAGATAAATTACTCATGAGTCCATACTAATACAAATAAATAAGTATATAAATGATAGAGATGAGACAGTTCTTCCTCACTGTAGAATCCCAATAAATAAACACAGAAGGAAAGAAAAAGAGAGAATCACCATTAGGCAAATACACAGTAATGAATATTGCAGACAAAATTAGTGGGTAAAAGTTTGAAGAGATGCGAGAATTTGTAGTCATAAAGTATCTCCCCCAAGATACTTATCAACTACAAAGAGAAAATAACTCTAGAAATAGAGATACCCCATAGACACAAACTTAACCAAGCCATCAAGGTAAATATGACCAGTATGCAATAAAACATATTACAATAAAACTCTTGATAGGATACACTAAGACACACACAACAGCATTTTTGTGGTACTTTTGCCAAAAATACATAAGCTCATTCCAATAATAAGAGATCATAGGACAAATTCAAACTAAATGATATTCTACAAGAAAATTGATCAGTACTCCTCAAACA